GGGGTCGGGAATCACGTGCGCGTGCCCGGGGTCGCCGAACGGGGTGGGCCGGGGTCACGAGCGGCGTGAGTTGCCTGAGGTGGGATCCTCCGCGAGTGACCCCGTGACACGGAAGTGGGTGTGCGGGGGTCCCGCGGCGCGATCTCGGGGTGAGCAGAGGACCCTGGGACTTCGGGAACACCCCCCCTTCCCCTCAGAACCAACGAGAGTTTCACCCGTGTCCTGGAATCAAAAGGTCTTCCAACGGGGTGGGTCTGCCGTGCCTCGCCACCCCAATCAGGGCCGTGCTTGCCCCCCTTCTGCTGCCGCTTGTTTAAGTGGGAGTAGAAAGTTCTTTGGGTCTGGAAAGTGGTGAGGGGGCCAGGACCCAGGCTGTGGTAGGAGAGTGAGGGGTTTGCACCCCAGCCTTGCGAGGCCAGTGTGACACCAGGTTAGTGTCTGTCAGTGGCTGGGGAGATCCAGCTCCCCGAAATCTGCCCCCTTATCACCCTTTCGGCTAGATGAGAGGTGGCGCCCAGGTTGTCCCTGTGCCTGCAGGGCTGAGAGGTCCCCGCTCTTGCTCCAGGATAGGATTCTCTGATAGCCCAGGGGCTTGTCTCTGCCCTGGGCGTTTTGGCTGGGTGTAAGTCTTGTCTTTTGGGGTGGGGTCGGGTGATAACTTGAGCGTGGAGGTGCACTGTTGGTTCTTAGCACAAGGATTGTGTTTCTTCCAGAAAAGTATCCTATTGGGTTGCTGGGTTGTTTAAAATGGTCCGTTACATGTTGAAGATAACATCACGCCTTCCCAAAAGAGGCGTGTGGTCCAAGTGAAGCTTGTCGGGTACGGGTGGCACCCAGGGTGAATTGGTGGTTCTGCAAGAGAAAAGGGGGTGACTACCTCTATAAGAAATACAGGCTTGGGGGACCCAGGGGGCAAGGCAAGTCTGCTCTGCCCCACCAGGCCACTCTGGTAGGTACTGACTCATCTGCAACAAACAGCCTTTGGACCAAACCTTTCCCTGGGACGGGTTAGGCCTAAAGGTTGTGAAGTAGAGGTAGCCTGGAATTTGGGGTCTCCAACATCCCAGAAGAATGTCCAGCCAGTCCCAACTTTGGAGCCTGCCCGAAAGCATCTAGAACTTCCCTGTGGCAGGTGTCCAGAGCTGCCATCCTAACACCAGAACCGATGTAGGGAGAGCTCTAGAAACTCAACCAAACTCACTGCCATCAAGCCGATCCCCACCCATAGCGACCCTATAGGACAGGGTAGAATTGCCTTGGCGAGTTTGAGACTGTAACTCTGTATGGGAACAGAAAACCACCTCTTTCTCCCATGGATCGGCTAGTGGCTTTGAACCACTTATCTTGCAGGTAGCTGCCCAACACATTGCACTGTACCCAAGTCTGTTGGGGCATGTGCCACCACCATTGGACTCTGCTTGTCCCATGGTTGGGGACAAAACAGTGGGGAAGCCTTTGTTCTGGGTCAGTAGGGTATCAGGGATCCTGAGCTAGGCCCCCAGCAAGACCTGGTGGGTTGGTAACTGAGTGCTCCTGCTTTATTTCTAGATTGCAGCCAAGATTGGAGGCGACTCAGCCACCACCGTCAACAACAGCACGCCTGAGTTTGGATTTGGGGGCCAAAAGCGACAGTTGGAAGATGGAGGTAACTTGTGACTCCCCTGAAGTAGGAAGAGGGCGCACATGGGCCAAGCACCCAGTGCTTTTGTTTGGAGGTGGCTCCGAGTGGGGGGGCGACGGCTGCCCTTTGGGCTTTTAAACCGTCAGCAATCCCTGCTTTGTTCATTCATTCCTCCTTTGTGCTCGAGCCTGCCAATCTGAGGTATCAGGTAGCCGAGAGGAAGGCTGCTTGTCTGGGGCAGGGGTCTAGGCGGCGGTTCCCGCGTTCCCATCCCTTCTGGGGGCTGTGACATTTGGCAGCTTTGTGGAAGCTTGTGGCATCACCCACCATGAAGGGCCAAATTAAAGATCCGTGCCCCCTCTGAACCAGGCTGATGTAGCAGTCAGCTGCCACCATCATTGTGTGCTTTTTATAAACAGCCATGTGATTGGACTGTTTGTCCAGGATGGGGAACCTTTTGTCATG